GGGTCGCCTCTGCCATCCGGAGGACGGGGGCACGAGAGCCGTCACGCGGGCCCCCTCCGTCCTGACCGGTGGGACACTGACCCCCCTATGCCTGCGGGCGCGGGGAGGCGTGGCCTCCCCCTGGGCCGCCGCCTCTGCTGGCTGCTCTGCGCGCTCACCGTGACCTGCAGGTAGCGAGCTGCGGGACGGAGGAAGGGGAGCGGGGCTGGTGGAGGGGCTCGCTCGTCCCGCCCCCCGAACTGGGGGCGATGGTGTCCCCGGGCCGTGGGCATGGGGTTTCTGACTTCTGCCCTCCCTCCTTCCCGACCCCTGCCCCTCTCCTGCAGCCACGCAGAGGCTCCAGTGCCGCAGGAGAAGCAGTCAGGTCAGTGTGGCCCACCCTCGGCTTGCTGGGCTTTCCGCTTGCCCGTTGCCCGCCGCCCGGGTGGAGAAGGGCAGCACCGCAGGGGAGGCATGCTGGGAGGTCGGCTGGGCAGAGCCTCCCCCGAGAAGCCCTTTGCGCTGTCCGGGCCGGGGCTGGCATTGCCCTCTCCTTTCAGGGAGTACCTCCAACGTGCCATGCTGGCTGGTGGAAGAGTTTGTGGTGTCAGAAGAATGTGCCCCCTGTTCTAATTTCCAGGCGGTGAGTATGTTTTGCCCCCTTTCTCGCAACTAACCCATCCCCATCCCCATCTTATTGAGCGTGCCCTCGAATGGCCTTGTGTTTTCTCCCATTCCTGACAAGCACATGCTGTGCATTTCTAACCCAGCAGGGTCTGTAGTCTGTTCCCCCTCTCCTAGTGTGTTGCTCATGGCCCCTGAAGTACTCAATAACCCCTAGTAAATACCTCGACGGGAGGGCTGCAGCCACGTGCTCAAGTGTCAGCACTGGGAAGACAGCGCAGCACTGGGCAGTGTTTGTTCCATTGTACCTGGGCATCCGTGGAGCCAGACTGACCCGAGGGCACCTAACGATCACAGCAATCGGGCAACCACTTCCACCACCCTCCCCATCAGAACCTGCCATTGTCTCTCTTGTCTACCAGCTCGGGAGCCCTAGTCCCTAGGTACCTGCCCCAGGACTGGCAGCTGCTGTCCCTTGCTAACATGTTCCTTGCTAACACCTCACCCCCTGCCTCCCCGCAGAAAACAATTGCTGAATGTAGCTCCACAGGCTACCTAGAGAAAATCACATGCAGCTCTTCCAAGAAGAATGAATTCAAAAGGCAAGTGCTGCTCCTCCTCCTTCAAAACCTCTGTGGTCACTTCCTTGCCCCATGACTTCAGGGGCATGGTCCCTTTTCTTCTGGTATAGAGGTCTCCAGGTAGCTTATTGGGAAAAGTGGAGATTTGGAGGCAAGTGACTTAAACCTAAGTCCTCGGCACCATGTTGGCAGCCATATTTTCTCCCTAGTAAAACGAGGTAATACCTCTCTCACTAGGGAATAAATGAAACACTGGATTTGAGAGGGATTCGTGTACTCTGATCTCCTCGTTCCCTTTTTGTTTTTTCTTGGTTCAATTGAAGTGGAAGGGATATTCGTGAGGGAAGCTGGCCTTTTTTTTCATTCTTTTTTTTTCTGAAAATAACTCTTGCTTCTTGCCCTCAGCTGCCGCTCAGCAGTGAGGGAACAACACTTGTTCTGGAAGTTCGAAGGGGCTGTCTTGGGTTTAGCCTTGGTTTTCGCTTGCCTGGTCATCCTTCGTCAGAGACTGTTGGACCGAAAGGCTCTGGAGAAGGTCCGGAAGCAAATCGAATCCATATAGCCACATCCCAGCCCGGCCTCCTATGACTCAGGACCCCGCCTCAGACAGAGAAAAGGGAACGGAGTGACTGGGACCCCTGGTTCTTCAGAACCCTGGGGTAGTGCCCTCTTCTCCACCATCTTCTTCCAGGTGATCAATGAGCAGAATAAAAGAGTAAAACCGGTGGTTTGCTTCCTGCTGTAGTTCGGTTTGAGGCAGCAGGGCATGGGATGCCGAGAAGGTAAGGGGTGGCAACGTTAAAGCAAGTCACCAAGCTCCTATAGTCCCTCCTCTTCTACTACTTAGAACGTCCTGGATACCATTTCAAATAGAATGTTTAATTCTCAGCCAAACAACGTTTCTGTGTTCCCTCAACCCTCTCCCCCCAAAAGAAATAAAGGCGAAGACCCATGGAGTATTCGAGGTGCCCACCCCAAGGCAGTGCCACGTGATTTGGAGCCCTGAGAACAAAGACCGAGTGGACATCCAGGTGTTGGCAAGCCATGGGAGAGCCCTGGCACCCTCATCGTGCTTGGGGTGTAGGCCAGACAGGAGGGTGGCCGCTGTCCCAGCTCACATCTCATCTGCATGCAGCACCGTTCGGAGGAGCCGGCCGGGCCTGGGCTTTTCTCCCTGCCTCTCAAACGTTGTCCTGGTGGAGTCATTTGCATCCTGGGTCCCAGGTGGCCCCCCTGGGCTGGACTCCCCCAATAAGGCCTCGGGATTCCCTGGCATGCCCGTGTGGGTGAGGATGTTTCTGGAAGTCACTGTGGGGTGACAACAAAAGAGGGCAGTAGTCGAATGCTCCGCTCAGACCCAGGACCTCCCTCCGGCTGCTTGACTACTGTGGAGAAGACAACCCCCGACTCGTTCATCGGGTCCTCCCTGCTTTGGCCGCTTACCTCTGCCAGGTTGGTAACCCTTGGGCCCGTCTTCTGGTGGACTCCGAAAGGGACTAAGGCTGGGCAGGATGATGAGAGTCAGCGAGAAAAGAAGGATCTGGAAGGAAGGACATGAGAGGCCCTTTGAGCCGAGGGCAGAGTGGACGCGGCGTCTGGCGTTTGGAATCACTGGGGTGAGAGGGCCGCTGGGGGCAAGGGGAGGTATATCAGGATGGGCGTGCGGGGCAGATGGGAAGTGGACAGACTTAGGATACCAGAACACAAGTGCTGGTCTGGGCGGCTTTGTTGGAGGTTTGTGTGATGAGCGCCTGCAGCTGGCGTAGCTGAGCCACCAGGGAGCTGGAAATGGCAGAGTGAGGAGTCAGTCTCTCCTAGGAACTAGCACCCAGGAAGGAGACCCCCGTGTGTGACACCCCTTCCCCCAGCAGATGCGCACCGCTCAGGCGCGCCAGCAGGCACTCACATGTTGTGTCTCTCCAGCTCCTGCACTTTTTTTTGCAGCTCCTGGTTCTGTGCAGAACAGGTAGCCACCCTGTGAATGTGAAAAGATGGGACAAAACCGGGCAATCCTGTGAGCCCCGCCTTTGTCTGTCAGTGCGGGCCCCAGACTCGGCCCTGGAAAGGCAGAGAGGTAGGCCCCAGCGTACCTGCCCTCCAGTCCATCGATGTACTCTTTCTTCCTCCGCCTGCTCTCCTGCGCCGACTGCTTGTTACGGATTTTCCTTCTGACCTTCTTGAGGACTCTCTCCTCAGCCTGAGGGTCCACCCGTGCCCGCGGTGTGTCAGTCCTGGATCCTTGACCTCCCCAGCCCCCCACCCATGCTCTGGAATCCTGGTTCCTAGGCAACCATGGGGGAGCCTTGACTTGGGCTCCCTGTGCCAGGGAACACGTTACCTTGGTGAGGGGCAGGTGAGAGGGCAGGGAGACCCCTTCCTGGCCCAGCAGATACTTCTCTTCCTCCGTCAGAAACAGTGTTTGACATGGGAGCTGGTGAGGGCACCGGAGAAAATGGGAGCAGGGAGAAGATCATTTCATATTCAGTACTGGGCTTGCTTTCCCCGCCCTCATTCCGGGTAGTGTGTCTCACGAGGTGAGGGCAGGGACAGAGACCTTAATTCAGACCTCAAGTTCCTACCACACGGAGTCCTCTCCCCCACCTCAAGCCAGGGACCTGAGACTGAGAAGGAAGAGCCGAGGAGCTTTGGGCATATCCTTTGCTCCTAGATCCTGGGCCTTGGCATGCTGAGCAAGCTAAGGGGCTGAGCCTGCTCTGGTCTGTCTCCCTGAGGATGACCTGGAAGAACTCACAGTGATATTGCTGCTCGGTCGCCCAGCAGGCAGATGAAACACTGGCAGCCACTAGCTTCATTTGACCAGCTCACGATCCAGTTCCCTGCCAACCCCAGGGCTCTGCCCATTCTACCAAAGGTTTGAGCCTGCCTTGAAGGGCTGAGCCTCGGCCTGCTTTCAGACAAGGGACCTCAAGGGTAGCCAGACCCAGCAACTCCTTGCAGGGTATCTGACAGAGTAGATGGCGTCTGTGCTGGACTTGAGCCCATCCCCTGAGTAACTTGACTAATATTCATTTTTGTCAGATTATGCTTCCTAGAAGAATTTGCTTTTAGAGTGACAGGCCACAGAGGCGATCACTGTCACGTACACAGTCCTGCAATACGATTGGATGCCTGAGCAGACATGGAGGTTGAAGGGGTGTGGGACTGTACCCCAGAAGATACATGGTGGATAGAGGCTCTTTGTGCTCGTGCGCTGACCTGTGCTGTGAGCCTCTCTGTGAATGTGATGGAGCTTGCTGCTGTTAGGTGACATCCGGTTGCTTCCAAGTCACAGCAACCGGATGCACAACCGAAGGACGCACTGCCTGGTCCTGCGCCCTCCTGTGTGCCGGGGTACACGGGACCACGTTAGGGAAACGCCCTAGACATAACCAGAAACCTGGAGGGAACGTCATGGGGCCTGAGGGCTTACAAGGCCAACATCACCTGGCACTCACATAATCAATAAAGATGGGGTCTCAGAAGCTAGTGAGTGGCCCTCCAAGGTCCCCATCTGGATGAAAAAGAGTAAAAAGGAAAAAAAATAAATAAATAAAAAGTTTTTTTTAAGGGGTAAAAAGGAAACCAAAGATGCATGGAAACAATTGGTTCAGTGGGCTAATGAGCCACGTGAACATCATCAACCTTGCCAGTCCTAAAATCTGGAGATCTAGATGGTGACCGCCTACCATGACCAACTGCTCCCTAATGGATCACATTAGAAGGTCCTGCGTAGAGTGGGAGAGAAACGTGGAATAAAACTCAAAAAAGTCATCAAATAGACCAGGTTTCCTGGTCAGATAGACACTGGTGGGACCTTGCCATTCTTCAGTCCTGGAACTGAACTCAGCCCTTTGGTTCACTTTGTAGCCAAACAACAGGCAGCTCTATCAGGGTAACCTTAACATTAGGGAGGTAGGCGTTCCTTCAAATAAACCCTTTGGGATCAAAAGGGCAACGCTTCCTCAAGGATAAAGTTCAGAAGGAGAAGGATGGCCACAGGAATGGAGGAAGTGGGGTTAGGGATGTTACATTGTTGGGCTTGCCATCAATGACATGAAACAATGTGTATGAATCAAGAACTGATTTGCTCTGTAAGCCTCCCAATTCATAGTAAAACTTTGTTCTTCAAAAGTATTTTAAAGGTATTTGCTTTGGCTTTTGGATCCTGATAGTTTTTGAGTTGGCCAAACCTTTTCTTCTATTTCTTCCAACTCCCGTGTCTGATTGGTGGGACTATTAAAGAGGTATTCTTTCCAATCCACCTAATTAAAACCTCAAAGTCTCAGAACAAGGGTTAGGTTTTAGTTGCAACCAAGAAATATATAAACTCTAGGTATTTCTGATACATGCCCAAGCTTAGAAACAGCAAACTTATTAGTTCCTTCAATTCAAGATTCTAGGGTTCTAAGATACATAGCTGCTTGTCCTAGATTTTCAGGAAGGCTAAAACCTGTGCCCAACCTTTCTGGATGCAATACTTTCCAAGGTAAAGGAAGGAACTGTGAGCTGAGCACAGCCAACCTTGGGAGCGTGCCTGAGGTGTTTAGCTGCTGTACCGGTCACTTGGTTCCCCTGCAGCTCTGGCCAGTGGGTGCCTCGGGAGCAGCTGTGCCAGTGGAGACACCGTGGCTGTTGCTTCTCCATCCTGTGCCCAGAAACCAGTTGGAGTCCCAGGGGGCCTGTCCCATTTCTGTGTCCTGACCTAAGGCTGAAACAGTAGTTCTGGCCACGCAGACAGTGCACACAAGGTCTGGGCTTCCGAGGCATGTGCCCAGATTCACTCACCTCACCTTCACTGACACACCTCACTCGACTCCTTGTCCCTTCCTGATTCTGATGTTTACTGCATCTCCCTAGTCTTCGGGTCTTGTGCCACAAAAATTGGGCCAAATGTGGGGCTCATCATCCATTACTCCCTCCATCATCCCCCTCTTCCTCATCTGTGTAGATCAGTGTATCGGGGGACGCTGGCCCAGCTGATCCTGAGACTCACCAGGGTGGCAGGAGGCACTGAGACTATGGTGCCTGCGCTGGGCAGGATGCGGGCATAGGCATCAAATGGCAGCTCACTGGCCGTGCAGGCCTCAGGCATCATAAATGGTGGGCTCCACTGGTCTGAGGGAGACAGAGGTAGCCAAGGAAAAGAATTGGATAGGCCAGGGCAGGACCTGAAAGACCTTTGTCCCTTTCCCACAGAGACTACTGACCTAGACGGATGGAAATGAGTCCTACAGTTGGCCCAGCTTCCCCCTGCGTGTTCTGCAGGGCTCCTGCCTCATAGACAACCTCATAGAGGGCAGGGGAACTGGAGGCCTTGGGGGCAGGGGGACTGTCTGGACGGCCCGGGTCCTCAGAGACGCCACTGTCACTGCCAGGAGATGCATCTGAGCAGTACACTTCGTTGGGATTGATGAAAAGCTTCAGGGAGTCTTCAGGCTCACTCTCTTGAAGACCCTGCAGTAAGAGAGAGAGTGTGTGCCTGGGAAGAATTTTGGAAGTTCTACCTGGGGACGCGACGCAGTGGTTAGGAGTTTAGCTGCCATCTGCAAGGTTAGGGCTTTGAAGCCTCAACCTCTCTACATGTGACAGACACTCTGCTTCCCTAAAGAGTTATAGTCTTGGAAACTCTGGGGCCAGTTCTATTCTATCCTATATATAGGCTGGCTATGAATTAGAATTGCCTGAAAACCTGACATCAAACCTATATCCCTCACCCTTCAGCTTCCATCCCTCCTCTCTTTGGGCATGAGGAGAGTTACAACTCTCTCCCACCTCTGTTCAAGGAGACGCCAAAGCCTCTTGGGGCTTCCAATCACAGAGCTGTGTCGAAACCCTACCCGCAACCCTGTCCATCACACTCACGCAGCCAAGGCCTCCGGTGGCCTCCCAGCCTTGCAGGCCCTGTTCAGGGAGCCTAGTCCCTGGGAGCTCTGGAGGCAGACAATGAGGTCCCAGCTCCAGGCAGGATCCTGCTGAGAAGACATCTTCTAGGGGATCTAGCCACACGTCTAGCAAGTCAGAGTTTCCAAAGTTCATCTTCCTGCCTGGAGGATTGGGAGGGGGGTGAAAGGCAGGGGGGGAGGGAAAAGAAATTACAGCATCCCCATTCTCCACCCCACCTCAGCATCAAGGTGCCTCAAGCTCCCTCCTCCATTACCCCCCTTCCTTCCTTCCCTCCACCCTCACCTGTCACCTGCAGATCGCACCTCCAGCCTTATTATCTCTCTGGTTCAGCCGAGCAGGCCCCC